TTGGAATCAACTGTGTCCCTCAATGCCACTACTGTAACAATACCAGGAAGACATTACCCACATTTTCTTTGAATGTCCCAATGCTGTCCACTTCTGGAATGACATCCTATGCAAGTCCTCAGGAACTAGCTTAAATCACCCAGTCTTCAATAGCCACCAGTGGCAATCAACATGGAACTCTCTCAAAACTGTTCCTTACAATAACTACATAGGTTGGGACAACCTCATCCACTTTTGTCTTTGGCACATCTGGATCACAAGAAACAGCAATGTTTTCAATAACAAAAAGGAACAAATTAATTCCAATAACACTATCTCAAAGGCAACAGAGTACCTTATGCTTACAAAGAATGTATCAACAAAGGTAACTCACCAGATCATGCTAAAATGGGAACCCCCACCCAGAGGTTCCTTCAAACTGAATACAGATGGAGCAGCAAAGGGGAACCCAGGAATAGGAGGTTCAGGGGGAATATTCAGAAACCACAATGGAGACTGGATATTGGGCTACATGGACAATATACCCCAAACAAAAAATACAAGGGCAGAAGTTCAGGCCCTCATTCGGGGTCTACAACTAGCGGAGCAAAATAATATAGTTCCACTATAAACACTGATTCAGCGGAAACAATAAATATGCTCTTGAATGGAAATCTAATTTTTGACCCTCTAATTTGTGAATGCAGATCAATCATCCAAAGGATGGGCAGCGTGGTAGTGAGGCACATCTACCGGGAGCAGAACAGAGTAGCTGATCCATTGGCCAAGGAAGCAGCAAAGGAGATTTTTTTGAACAAGTCGTTGTCATTACCAGTTCCTCCGATGCTTGCCAATGATGTATTTTGGGCAGACATCCTAGGAACTGAATTACCTAGATCTTTTGTGGGTTCTAACTTAAATACAATTATGCAGAATATTGCAACTATGGGGTCTCTGAGATACCCCAGTAATGCTCCAAATGTAGCTTCTCCTGTTTAACTAGTATAAATATAATATCCTTTTAACAAAAAAAAAGGAATTGGGATCAACGTTGTCCGATGCTTGTAGTTCATCCATATGTGTTAAACGGGTAAAATGCACAAATAGGACATTTCGCGGCCAGTATTAATTTTTTGATATCTCTTGTTCCATGTAGAATTTCGCTGCCACCTCTTGTCCCATATGCAGAACTACAGGTTTAATAAGTGTTGCCCTTCGCTTATTTCATAGACAACAATATTGACTTTTGACCTTAAAGGTTTTCCCATAGGGCAACAACAACAATAACAACGACCCAATATAGTCCCACAAGTGGGGTCTGGGGAGGGTAGTGTGTACGCAGACCTTACCTCTAACCCATCGAGGTTGTTTTCGATAGACCCTCGGCTCAAGAAGACGAAAAGAGACACTATATCAGTAGCATCAATAAAGAGACACTATATCAGTGCCATCAATAAAGAGATACTAAAGGTTTTCCCATAGGGCAAGCGATGGTAAAAAAATCAAGACTATCCATTTTCAAAGTCATTGAATGTAATTTCCTGTGTTAAACAATCTAGTCATCATGGTCCTGCGACACGGGACCCAAGTAAAAATATTGGGCTTTTAGGGCGTCATTCTAGTAAAAATTGCAGGGGGCGCCCTATTTGGTCGCCCCCATTTAACCTATACCCATTTTTTTAAAGTTTTAACTTGTACCCACTTTTTAAACAACTTCAGCCCCCTTTCTCCTCCTTCTCCTTCATTTTCTTCTTCTTCTTCTTCTTCTTCTTCTTTCTTCTGCTGGTGTTGGTGCTGCTATGAAACTTCAGTTCATGGTATGATTGCCATAAATATGTTTATCAGATTATTTAAAAATAAATTATAAATAATTACGTAAGTTAGTAGACAATAATTTGTGAATATTTCCACGTACGGGAAGTTTAAGGTCACACTTAGCGATTCTTTTCATGATAATTCTGTTCTTTTCACGTTTATTTATTTCCAAAATTTTATGATTTTGATACTGTTGGCAATCTGATTATTTTATAGTAGTCTGATTATAACAAAACTAATGAATCCAGGACAAAAAAACTTCAGCTTATTTAGTGCTGAAGTTTTTACAAATGAACTAAATAACTTCAGCATCTTCTGCTGAAGTTTTTGAACAAGCTTTATGACAAAACTAATGAATTCAGGACAAAAAAACTTCAGCTTATTTAGTGCTGAAGTTTTTATAAATGAACTAAATAACTTCAGCATCTTCTGCTGAAGTTTTTGAAAAAGCTTAATGACAAAACTAATGAATCCAGGACAAAAAAATTCAGCTTATTTAGTGCAATTACAAATAAAAACTTCAGCAAATAGAGAATAAAACTTCAACTACTATGCTTAAGTTCAGCAATAACAAATAAAACTTTAGCAAATAGAGAACAAAACTTCAGCTACTATGCTTAAGTTCAGCAATTACAAACAAAAACTTCAGCATAGAGAACAAAACTTCAGCTACTATGCTTAAGTTCAGCAATTACAGACAAAGACTTCAGCACACTTGGTTCACCACACTTGCTACTTCAGGCCCGTCTACTAGAATGCTGAAGTTTTGCGTGGTTGCCTTTGCTACTTCAGCGCCGTATGCTGAAGTTACGCGAAAAAGTGGGTACGCTTGTAATTTTTTTTGTAAAGCGGACACAAATTAAAACGTGACCCAAAAAGCAAATATAGATGCAAATCCCCCGTCATTCTATGCATTGAATTTCATGTGTGCACAAGGCCTGTATGTAATTTGTAGGGTACGAAAGGATTGCCTTTAACTTGGTTGATGAACCCTTAACCACATAACAGTCACACAAAGTGCAAGTGCCTTTTATTTGGTTAGCAACTATATGATGTTGTAGGGATTAGCTGTGAGAGTTAGAGAATATCTAATTGTCAAGAAACCTATTTTGCCTTAAAAGACAAATTATGGAGTAAAGGGATGAAACCAAGTCCAAATTGAACCGATTTCAAATGCAATGAGAATGTATATTGAAGATTGGAAAAGATTCATATAACCAACCTAACTTGTTCAAAATTGAGGTATAGTTGTTATTAATGTTGTTGGGAAGTACAAGGACTTTTATTTCTAGTCCATTGTTATGCAAACCAAAAACTAGTTCCTAGACAGGCTTGAAGCGAAAAACCCAAATCCATTGAAGTTTTTCGCCTGAGCCCAAAAATATGGTAAAAATTGCACGGGGCGCCCTATTTGGTCGGCCCCATTTAACCTATACCCATTCTTTTTAAAACTTTTAACTTGTACCCACTTTTTAAATAACTTCAGCCCGCTTTCTCCTCCTCCTTCTCCTCCTTCGTTTTCTTCTTCTCTTCTTCTTCTTCTTCTTCTTCTTCTTCTTCTTCTTCTTTCTTCTGCTGCTTTTGGTGCTGCTATGGAACTTCAGTTCATGGGATGATTGCCATAAATATGTTAATCAGATTATATAAAAACAAATTATAAATAATTACAAATGAACTAAATAACTAGCTGTAACTATATTAGATGAGTAGATTCTTGGTGTATATGTTTGTTTGGGATCTTGGTCATCTATATTTTGACCCTTGTTAATTCATTCCCTTTTTTCTTCTTTCAAAGCTATGTAATAGTAAATTTAGACTACGTTACTTGTTGATGTAACCAATTATTTCAGAGGCACGTTAGTTTCAGTTGCAAGATTTTTGTTGAAATTGGTGACTTTACTGATCAGTGAATGATGATGAGTTATTAGATTTGTGCATACTCTCGTTTTCTTTTCTTGTTGCATAATTACAAACAAAATACAAATGACCAAGATCCCAAACAAACATAAATAGTGCTGATGTTTTTACAAATGAACTAAATAACTTCAGCTCTAGAGCTGAAGTTCGCCAGTTACAAAACAAAAACTTCAGCTCTAGAGCTGAAGTTCGCCAGTTACAAAAACAAAAACTTCAGCTCTTCGCGAGTTACTAAACAAGAACTTCAGCTCTAGAGCTGAAGTTTGCCAGTTACAAAACAAAAACTTCAGCTCTAGAGCTGAAGTTGCGTGATTGCCTTTGCTACTTCAACTCCGTATGCTGAAGTTATGCGAAAAAGTGGGTACGCTTGCAATTGTTTTTGCAAAACGGCACAAGTTAAAATGTGACACAAAAAGCGGGTATAGATGCAAATGCCCCCAAAAATATGCCTTTGTTGCTTTCTTGTAGAAATGACACCAAGTGGCCACTTTAAAAAGCTGCTATTTAGGAATTAGCCAATGCGTCCTGAATTTTAGTTTTTCAGTTTAATTTTTCAGGACAAAAATGCGTAAAATTGCAAGGGGCGCCCTATTTGGTCCCCCCCATTAACCTATACTCGCTTTTTAAAAAAGTCTTAACTTGTACCTACTGTTTAAACAACATCAGGCCTCTTTCTCCTTCTCCTTCTCCTTCTCCTCCGTCGTTTTCTGAATGCTGAAGCTTGAGATATTGTTATGCGTTCTAGCCTAATGGTTCATATATATTTGCTTGTCCCATTATGTTCAGTTTGGTCATATTCACAATAATTTAACCTCTTAGATATTTTAGCTTTAGATGCACATTGGTTTTTGGTTCTAATTTATCTGTAGTAACTTGTTTTCATGTCGAAAATATTTTTCGTTCTTTAATCTTTAAAATGAACAGCATCAATCGCTGCTAATCATGATTTATTAAATTCATTGTTGTTTAGAACTTCAGCTCTAAGAATGCTGAAGTTCATCACAAACAGAACAAAGCTTCAGCTAAAACATGCTGAAGTTCAGCAAATACAGAACAAAGCTTCAGCTGCTAGAATGCTGAAGTTCAGCAATTACAAACAAAAACTTCAGCAAAACATACTGTAGTTTTATTGAACTGAAGTTTGCCATTTGCACTATGAACTGAAGTTTGCGTGATTGCTTTTGCAAGTCAGGGCAAACTTCTACACTTCAGGCAAAACATTCTGAAGTTCAAACTTCAGACATAAATTTTTGCTACTTCAGGCCCGTATGTCTGAAGTTACCCGAAAAATGGGTACGGTTGCAAATTTTTTTGCAAAGCGGGTATAAGTTAAAAGGTGACCCAAAAAGGGGGCATAGATGCAAATGCCCTGAACTGTCTTGAAGTTAAGACTTTTAGTTTAAAATTTCATGACAAAATAAATACAGGATAATCTCTAAATAGTACTCGTGAGAATGGCTATCTGTGCACTTGCCCCCTGCTTTCTCCCTTTGCCAAAAATAATAGCCAAAAAGTATGTGTATATATATACATATATATATATATATATATATATATATATATATATATATATATATATATATATATATATATATATATATATTTGAATAACAAATATAATTATTTTTGGCTGGTCGGCAAAATGTGTAACTTGTCCAAAATTTTCCAAGAATTGGGATTCTGCAACTGACCTTCCATTATCATCAGGGTTTAAGAACTCTCACTCTTTCTTCTTCATCAAACCCCATAACACATCCCCCACCCCCAACACCATGAACACTTTAAACACTTTCGCTGCAAAAAAGAACAATTTTCACAACCAATTCATTCCTTCATTCGATCAACATTGCTCTGTGTTAACTAAACAACCCCTTAATAATTCTCTTTCCTATAGAACCCAATTACCACTATCTTTATCCTCCTCTTACTTACCCATCAAATCCTCCTTCTCAATTCCTAAAACCCTTAAATCACAACCCTTCAAACACTCTTTCCTTAAACCCACATTAATTTCCACCATTACCGCCACTACACTTTTCCTCACAGGATTCTATATCAACCCTAAACCAGCCATTTCTACTCCTCTTTCTCCTCCACCCACCGTTGACACAACAACTATAAATGAAGATAATACCAAAAATTCCCTCGAAGAGGACCTTGTCTCTAACCCCAATGATGTTGATACAACTGCAAATGAAGCAGTCTCAGAAAATAATACCAAAAACGCCCTCGAAGAGGAACTCCTCTCTAACTCCAATGATGTTGATATCTTGAGAAATTTGTTAGAAAATCACATTAAGAATAGAGAATTAGTGGATGCGCTTAGCATATTAAACAAGTTAATCGAGCTCGAGTCGAATGAGATTGAATGGTGTTTTTTGAAATCTCATTTGTATGTTCATAATGGGGAGCTTGAATTAGCCAAACTAGGATTTAGAGAAGTAATATCGAAGGATCCTTATCACGTTGAGGCTTATCGCGGGCTTGTTGTGGTGGCAGGATCAGAAGTCGACTCGTTAGAGGAAATGAAGGAAATAGAGAAAGAAGTTGAGGAGGGAATTAAAATGTGTGAGGAGGAGAATAGAAAGGATGAAATGAGGGATTTTAAGCTCTTGCTTGCGCAAATATGGGTAATTGAAGGTAAATATGAGGACGCTTTGAAGTTTTATCATGAGTTAGTCGATGAAGAGCCGAGTGATTTTAGGCCTTACTTGTGTCAAGGCATGATATATACAATGTTGAAGAAGAACGACGAGGCTGAGAAGTATTTTGAGAAGTATCGGGGACTAGTACCGCGTGAGAATCCTAATGCAAGGTTTGAATTTATGATGGCAACTTGATGGAAAAAAAGGTTTTTGTTGGAGGATTATATGATTGAGGTATGGTAGAAATCGAGTTGCATTATGTGTTTGTAGTTTGTTTATATTTTTCTTGTTAGATGTTTAGATTCTTTTAAAATCTCAGGTTTGAGAAGGTAGTCTTTTATATTTAGTTTTAGCAATAAGGTTGGAATTCAGACATCAAACAAAAATCTTTGTAAATTAGTGGAATAGAGCTCAAAACATCGTTAATGTAGATTCATATAGCCGATCCCTACTTGTTTGGAACAGAGGCAGAGCTGATGTTTGTTAGTGAATGGAACTTGAAGCTATTTAAACTCAAATGATATTTTGAATGACATGATAAACTATATTTAATTTTATCAAGAATGTGAAACAGATTGATACTTTGTGATATTAATCATTCCTGTGCAATATGCTCCGAGTCCTGTATGTTGTGACTTGTGAGTTGTGACTTCTGAGGCTGAAGACACAAGATTTCATGGGAAAAGTTAGCTGCTACAGATATGTGGGAGCAGTTAGCAATCACTCTGCTTCATTTTAAACAAGTCTAACCTTTGGTAAACATAATTTGAGCATCAGGCTACAACATTTCATGTTCCATATAGTTGCTTATCTGGTTTTTGGAATACAAGCTAGAAGTTCATTAGTACATATTATGTTGATCTTCTCCTACATGAGGTTTTCTGTTAATAGCTATGTTGCTCGGACTCTCAAAAAATATCGTCGGGTGCGTGTCGGATTGTAAGGCCCTGGAAATTTTCGCTAAGTAATTTAGGATTTCGTGGTGTCACGTAGGCTTATTATAATATTTTTATGTGCTATTAACATGGTGTACATCCATTGGATTTGGTAAATATGTGTATAAGTCTTATGGTAAGTAATTTGGGATCCAAGGAAATGCCTAAGTCTAAGAAAAATTGGAAAAGTCCATAATAGGCTAAAATTCCCAACGATCTTGCACTAGTCCATACTTTGAACGAGCATATCTAAATATCTGTAAGGTTTTAGGTGATGGATAACCTATCAAATTAAAGGTCTTCAAGTCTATTTTCCAACGCTTCAAACCGTTCGTCATTTGAACATTCCTACACAAAGTTATGATCAAATTACCAAAAGCTGAAAAAATACGATTCTGCGTGAAATCTGCTATCGCAGATTTAACTCTGCGGACCGCATAACCATTCTGCGATCGCAGAATGGTCGCAGAATGAGGCAGAACAGCCCAGTTTTGGGCAACGAGTTCTGCGATGAATCTGCGGCCCGCATACCCATTCTGCGGTGGATTCTGCGTAGCATACTTGATATCGGAGGGTTAATTTTTAAATTTTTATAACCCGACCCCATTTTAATATATAGGTTTTAGGGTTTATTTTGCGGTCATTTTCTACTGATTTTAGAGAGAGGTGAGAGCATTTTAGAGAGAGAAGGAGGAACCCAACATTTAAATCATCCAATCTTGCATCAATCTTCAAGAATCAAAGATCCCAATCACAAGTTCTTCATCTAAGAGGTAAGATTCTATACCCTAGGTTTTAGTTTCGAGTTTGGAGTATAAGATGGGTTATTAAGGTATGATTCTTGGGTGTATTAATATTGTGTATACATGCATGTTCAACTTAGGTTTATGGGAAGATTGTTTAACATAAATAAGTAAAGATTTGGTTGGGGAATGAAGGAAAACCTTGAAAAAGAGACTTGAGATTAAGATGCTCAACTAGTATTTGATAAAATGCTCAAATGAGCTGAAACCATGAATACCTTTCTAATTTGTGTTCAATTTTGTTATGTCTCAAACTAGATTGGAATTGCTAGAATTTCCGGAACGTTGTAGTAACTTAAGGAAAGCTTAAACGAGATATGTATGGCTAACTTTAACTCTTGTAGAATCCCCTTGTTGTGACGAGCATACGGTATGTGTACCTTGTATGAAAATATGTGAATTGATTGCCTTAATTGATTTCCATACCACCAAGTTATATGTGATTGTGAGAAGTGATTTGATGTGCCTATCTTGTTATGTGCAAAGTTTGTAAAAGCTTGAGGATGTCGACATGGAAGTATGTGTTTACTTATGTGAGTTATTTGTGAATTCTTGTGATTAATGTGCCTTGAATGTTGTTGGTTAAGTCTTACGATATGATGGTGCAAGTAAATGGAAACAAATCAAATGTGGGTGTGTGATTGTGAAAGTGTTATGTGGAAAGAACTGAGAAACAAATGATGGAAGGAAATCGTAAATGATGCACTTGGAACAGCTGTGGTAATAACATATTTGGCTTGTTGTGGGTAATTATTGTGGTGACTTAAATTGCATATGAATTGTTGAATATGATGAAATGGTATTGATGGCTACGGAAATTCTTGTGAATTGTTGTGGTTGTTCTTTGAGAATTGTTGTTGTTGTTCTTGTGAATTGTTGTTCTTGTGTGTTGTTTGTGAATTGTGATTGTTCGATGGGATCGGGTTGCGCGCCGCAACACGAAGTAATAAGGTGTGGGTTGTGGTGATAAGGGTGGCCGAGGTAATAAGGGTGGAAAAAGTGATCGAAATCACTATTGAAATCATTGATGTGACGGAAAAATGTTGAAAGGGGAAAAGGAGAGATTGTGAAACTTGTTTGGCTTTTGTTGTTTCTTTCACGTGCATTTGATTGTTGGTTCTATTACTGTTTGTTACTTGTGTATTGATTGATTCTACTTGGGGTAAAGTTTGTATTGTTTGATTCTACTTGGGGTAAAGTTTGTATTGTTTGATTCTATTTGGGGTAAAGTTTGTATTGTTTGATTCTACTTGGGGTAAAGTTTGTATTGTTTGATTTTACTTGGGGTAAAGTTTTTTCATACAGACCAGTACAATTCAAATGTACTGACGTCCCTTTTGCCGGGGGCGCTACATTCGTGTTATGATTGTAGGTGGATCTATAGCAGGTACTCCAGTCCACCGTCAATAGCACTCCTTCCCATCCCGTCAGCTGAATTGGTGAGCCCCTTTCCTCTGGGGGCCCTGCGTGGCTCAAGCCGCTTTTCTTCCCGGAGTCTTATTTTGGTATTTGTGTAAGGTATAGCCGGAGCCTTGTTGCCGGCATTTCGATATTATTCTTTAGTTGTAGTTAGAGGCTCCGTAGACAGGTTGTGGGTAGTGTCGGGCATGGGAATTTTAAATAGAAATGTTGATGTTTGGCAATGATGTATAAAACTTGTAATACCTTTAAAGTGGCGAATGAAGTTTCTAATGAAAATGAAATGGAAATTGTTATTGATATGTTTATAGAATTTGATTAATGGAGTCCATCTCCTATTTTTTCATGAATTAGTTTGGGTAGAATGAGACCTAACAGGCTTGCTCGGTCGGGTTTACTCGGTTGAGCGCCGGTCGCGCTCCTCGGATTTTGGGGCGTGACATTTCGGTCTTAAGAATGCAGGTGCAACGTATCAAAGGTTGGTCACACAAATGTTTCAAGAACATTTAGGTAAAACCATGGAAGTATATATAGATGATATACTAGTTATAACTCAACATTCAGAAGATCATATATCACACTTATCTGATACGTTTAAAACTTTACGAAAATATAATATGATGTTGAATCCAGAAAAATGTGCATTTGGAGTGGCGTCAGGAAATTTTTTAGGTTTTCTTGTTTCTAAACGTAGAATTGAAGTGAATCCTGCACAGATTAAGGCCATTGAAGAAATTCCAGATATACTTTCTAACAAGAAAGAGTTTCAAAGGTTAACCGGGAGAATTGCAGCTCTGGGAAGATTCATTTCCAAGTCTTCAGAAAAATGCTTCAAATTTTTCTCAGCTTTAAAGAAACAGGATCATTTTGAATGGAACGAATATTGTCAGCAAGCACTTAAGAATCTGAAAGTATATTTGTCAAATCTACCGTTGTTGGCGAAACCAAAGGTAGGAGAGAAGTTACTCATTTATCTTGCCATGTCAGAAGTTGCGGTAAGTGCTGTTTTAGCTCGGGAGGATCAAGGTAAACAATCTCCTATCTATTATGTAAGCAAGTCTTTGCTAGATGCAGAAACACGGTACCCGCAATTAGAAAAATTAGCGCTAGCCTTGATTATGGCATCTAGAAAATTAAGTCCTTACTTTCAATGTCATCCCATTGCTGTGGTTACTGCTTTTCCATTACGAAACATTATACATAAACATGAATTATCAGGTAGATTAGCGAAATGGGCTATAGAATTAAGTGAGTACGACATCACTTATCAACCTAGAACTGCTATAAAATCTTAGGTATTAGCTGATTTCGTAGCTGATTTCAGTCAGGGGATGCAATTAGAAGCTGAAAAAGAATTACAAGTTTTTAATGGTGCAAACCCGGGAACTTGGGTTTTATTCACTGAAGGTTCATCTAACATAAAAGGCGCAGGTTTAGGAATAGTTCTCGTACCACCCACGGGTGAAACTATTAGACAAGCTATAAAGTGTCATTCGATAACTAACAATGAAGCAGAGTATGAAGCTGTCATTGCAAGTTTGGAATTGGCTCGGGAACTTGGCATAACCCAGNCGAGCATACGGTATGTGTACCTTGTATGAAAATATGTGAATTGATTGCCTTAGTTGATTTCCATACCACCAAGTTATATGTGATTGTGAGAAGTGATTTGATGTGCCTATCTTGTTATGTGCAAAGTTTGTAAAAGCTTGAGGATGTCGACATGGAAGTATGTGTTTACTTATGTGAACTATTTGTGAATTCTTGTGATTAATGTGCCTTGAACGTTGTTGGTTAAGTCTTACGATATGATGGTGCAAGTAAATGGAAACAAATCAAATGTGGGTGTGTGATTGTGAAAGTGTTATGTGGAAAGAACTGAGAAACAAATGATGGAAGGAAATCGTAAATGATGCACTTGGAACAATTGTGGTAATAACATATTTGGCTTGTCGTGGGTAATTATTGTGGTGACTTAAATCGCATATGAATTGTTGAATATGATGAAATGGTATTGATGGCTACGGAAATTCTTGTGAATTGTTGTGGTTGATCTTTGAGAATTGTTGTTGTTGTTCTTGTGAATTATTGTTGTTGTGTGTTGTTTGTGAATTGTGATTGTTCGGTGGGATCGGGTTGCGCGCCGCAATACGAAGTAATAAGGTGTGGGTTGTGGTGATAAGGGTGGCCGAGGTAATAAGGGTGGAAAGTGATCGAAATCACTATTGAAATGAAAATATGAGAAAATTATGAAATCATTGATGTGATAATGTTGAAGGGGAAAAGGAAAGATTGTGAAACTTGTTTGGCTTTGATTGTTTCTTTCACGCGCATTTGATCGTTGATTTTATTGATGTCTGTTACTTGTGTGTTATTTGATTTTACTTAGGGTGAAGTTTGTTTATACATACCAGTACAATTCAAATGTACTGACGTCCCTTTTGCCGGGGGCGCTACATTTGTGTTATGATTGTAGGTGGTTCTATAGCAGGTACTCCAGTCCACCGACAGTAGCACTTTATCCATTTTCCGTCAGCTGTATTGGTGAGCCCCTTTCCTCTCGGGACCCTGTGTGGCTCATGCCGCTCTTCTTCCCGGAGTCTTATTTAGGTATTTGTGTAAGGTATAGCCGGAGCCTTGTTGCCGGCATTTCCATATTATTCTTTAGTTGTAGTTAGAGGCTCCGTAAATAGGTTGTGGGTAGTGTCGGGCATGGGAATTTAAAACAGAAATATTGATGTTTGGCAATGATGTATAAAACTTCTAATACCTTTAATATTGCGAATGAAGTTGCTAATGAAAATAAAATGGAAATCGTTAATGATATGTTTATAGAATTTGATTAATGGAGTCCATCTCCTGGTTATTCATGAGTTAGATTGGGTAGAATGAGATCTAACAGGCTTGCTCGGTCGGGTTTACTCGGTTGAGCGCCGGTCGCGCTCCTCGGATTTTGAGGCGTGAAACGGATCCTCCAAAAGTAGTTTTTCTTTTAAGAATCTGATACGGATGCGGCAACTTTTTGGACTCAACATAGGACTGAATAGCCCACTAGAAATTCATTTCTCTTTGCCTCCTGGGCTTTGGTCTAATCGTAAGAGCGCAACAAATGACGTGTGAGTTAGGCACACGTCACGGTGTCAAATCTCAAAGTAAACAAAAAGCATGAAATTTAAGTGGAGAAGAGTTGAGGTGCGCATTATTCACTGGTTTCAAACGGTGTGCCATTGACCATTGGGGATATCTCACTTATGAAAAGAAAGAAAAAATTATTGGAGTCCAAAGATGCTCTTTTCTCTTCATGTCTTGAAGTTTTCTGTTTATACTGAATCTACTAATTTAACCCCAATATAAAGGTGGAAAGAAAATCTTAGTAATAACCTCAGCATTTTCTTTTGAACCATTTTCAATGAATTGGAAAATCTCTTGATTCAAGTGTCATGACTCATGTGATATGCTTTATACGAAGTTGTATGGCAACAATATATGCATCCTTTTCATTGGAAAGTTTTCAATATACAGGCTATAGTAGGGGTCTTCATAAAAATCAGAAAAACCGAACCAAACCGTAAACCGAACCAAACCGACCAAAAAATCGATATTTTTTAGGTTTGGTTTTGGTTTTGAATTTTAAAATCCGATCAAATTTGGTTTGGTTTTGGTTTTAATCAAAAAATAACCGGAAAAAACCGAACTAAACCGACTATAAAAGTACTTATTTAAATTTATTATTACACCTATAAATATGTATATTTTTATATAAACTTTCTAAAATTTTATGGTACATATTAGTCATTTGATTTTTAGTCTAGTTCTTTTCTATTATAATAATAATCTAATTCTTTGCATTTACATTCTAGTTTGATTGGTAGTTTTCTTTTGTTAAGTAACAGAATTTATTTCATGTTATAAATAATCGATTTTTAATTGAGTACTTGAATTATTCATCACTATTCGATTCAATTATCATCAATACAAGTTGGTAAATGATAGATTTCTCAAAGAGCAATTGATTTGATAGTGTTACATTAAAAATGTAGTTGCCGGAATATGCGTTTGGTAGTGTATGTCTCATATTTAAGGAAAAAATCGATAAATAACCGAAAAAACCGAAAAACCGACAAAAACCAAATCAATAAAAAATCGACTTAATTGGTTTGGTTTGGTTCCAATATTTAAAAAATCGAGTTACTTGATTTGCTTTCTTTAAGGAAAAACCGACCCAAACCGAACCATGAACGCCCCTAGGCTATAGTGTAAATAATTCTACATATTCTAATCAACAGTAGAATGGCCCTGCGCTGACATTAGCCTAGTCTTCATATTACTCACATACCTAAATAGGTGGATTTTTTTTTCTTGGGTTTATGAGATTCATCAAAATAGAACCTTTGGAGAAATGTTTGGAGATTTGACTATGTATGTATGGATTAACTGACACAGAGGAAGGGAGCTTGCTAACTAATACTCCGTTGGTTTCATTTAACATCCTGTTCGACTGGACACGAAATGTACGGAAGATTTTTGAAATTTGCGGTCTTTAAATATACCATAACATTTTTCGAGAAGAGAAGTGGTTCGTTTCATTTCTAGACGCAATTCAAGATTTCTTTTGTATTCATGTTGGCGATTTTTTATGTGAATTTGGTGTTGTCCCCCCTTCCTACGGGTTCCCCCACCGACCTAGTGACACACCAACCACGCCCCTTATCTTTCTCCCCCACCAATAACTAAGATTGCTCGGTGTTGGATAATCTATCAAATGCTGATTAAGTGTGGAGGATATAAGTTGTTTAAGAAGAGAGTCCGATCATAAAGCCCCATGATCCCTTTATTTGTCTTTNTTGTCTTTCATCCCCCCTGAATAAGTAAGACCCCGCTCTTTCTAATTCAAAAAAAAAGAGAGGGGCAAAGCACCCGTTTGAAGTGGCGAAGGCCTATGATACAGTAAGAAGAAAAAAAGTATGTTGAGGTTACAAAGTCACTTAGTTGAACTAGAAAACTATAAAGAAAGGTAAGCTAATGTTAGGAAGTAAGGTCAGTTGGTTAAGGGCTATGAAAGCTTCTCATTTTCAGATAAAATGGGAAGTTTAAGTTAAATTATTTTCAAATTTAGAAATGAGTTATTCGTTTTGGAACATATTAAAAAAATAAGATCACATAAGTTGAAACGGAGTGAGTAACAATTGAAATTGTAAACTTGGCTCCACCCTCTCACCTTCCCCATTGCTCAGAGTAAAACAAAAGAGAATGAATATGAAAGAGGAGGCTTCCTTGAAAATTATTGCCAGATTCCTTTTCCTTTCCGGGCAGCTGAGGATACAATCTTTCAGCTTTATCTGCAGCAAGAAAACTTTGGAACAATGCTAAATTTACTGAAAAGATCTACTTATAACTGGTGTTTGCACAAGATAATAAATGTAATTATATTGCATCTCTTGCATATAAAATTTTGGTTATGTGATATGTATTCTCACTTTAGCCTACGAATCTTATGGGTAAATTGCTTGGTTTGTGTACAAGTATTTTCTTTGTTTTTTTCGACGAGTTTATCCTGTGACATGTGGTAAAGTAACAGTTAATTTTACCCATGGTCATGAACTTTTGTGTTTGTTACCCAAAAGTAAATTTTCTTGTTTTTGTTACGTAAAAATTACCCATGGTCATGAACTTTTGTGTTTGTTACCCAAAAGTAAATTTTCTTGTTTTTGTTACGTAAAAATCATTCAACTTTGTGTTCATTACACAAAAGTCACTTCTCTTTCTTTTGTTACACAAAAATCATTTTACTTTGCTCTAGTTTATTACAAAAGTCACATTTTTACTTGAAAAGTCTATTATGCCCTTGATATTATATAAACCTTCATATTTATGGAATACCTTCTATATTATATACTATATAATGTATTTTTAACTATGTATTTTATTTATAAATAAAATAACTAAATATTACTTTTATAATATATTCGTATATTTAACTTTTTCTTAACGTTGATTAATAAAATATATAGTTAAAAATATATTATATAGTATATAATATAGAAGGTATTACGTAAATATGAAGGTTTATATAATATCAAGGGCATAATAGACTTTTCAAGTAAAAATGTGACTTTTGTGATAACTAGAGCAAAGTAAAATGATTTTTGTGTACCAAAAGAAAGAAAAGCGACTTTTGTGTAATGAACACAAAATTGAATGATTTTTACGTAGCAAACAAAAAGTGACTTTTGGGTAACAAACACAAAAGATCAATGATACTGGATAATATTATCTCGGTGAAGTAAGTAGGCAGCAAAAAAATTTCCATGAAAATCAAAAAGTTCACCAGCACCACAATGTAGAATCCATCAGGAAGATGATTAAAAAAAGATCCCAGGCTATAATTTCCTTTTTCTAAAGCACATAAACTTCAAAAATTTACATAAGGTGAATAGTTGTTGGAGTTGGAGGAACATTATTATCTATTTTGTCATGAGACAGTACCAACTGCTGCTTGACATCTTTCATGAACTAAGAATAACTCAAATTAACTTTGGCTGAAGAAGGGACTGAAGAAGCCAGTGTTGGTGTCATAAGCTGTGCATTCTTCACCTTTGAAATGCTTGCAAGAACCCCTAATGGTGTCACATCCCCGATAACCGTTACCTTCTTCGCAGCAAAATCTATGTTGAAAGATGTCGCACCTGCACGGTGCAAAATCAGATTGTTTATAAGGTAATTACAGGTAAAAGAACTATAGGTTACATGTCGCGCTAACACTGAGTTTGACGTGCGCTATTGAAAGCATTAGTTCCCATCTCACCAAAATATCAGTGCCACGCAAAATTGGGTGTCCATCTTGAACAATCCTAACAGAGGAGACGTATATCTGAACCATTTGGGTAACGACGGGGGTACTTTTGTGTGGATAGTATAACGAAAGGTAAATTGATCCTTTTTTATAGTAGAGGAGCAAATTTGGTCATTTTCCCTAAATTTATACTGACAGTGTATGCAAGTTAAGAAAATGACGCATCGAGAAAATGTCAAAGGGGGCATGTCAATGGTCCCCAACAAAGGAGAAAAAAGTTACTCCTATCACAAAGTGCAGAGGTACACACCTTGCATTCTGGATATATGTTTCCTCATCTTCCTTTCACATCCTTTACAGTGCAGTGAAACTCTAAGAACAACCACCTGCAACAAATATTCATTATTCTGTCATATATTGTCTCTTTTGTCCTTTTTTTGGACCACTTTCTACAACTAATCCTCCTACTTTATGATGCTAACAAACAAGAGAAATGTTTTCTATATCTTTCTAAAAAGGAAATTTCTTACTATTAAATTAGGTTATGCTAGACATACCTTTTGCTTTTGATCTAGTGTTATAGTTGAAAGGTCTTGTAGAAGCCAAGAAAGTATTAACTTTCTTGGCTTCTACTAGAGTCGTCGCCAAAATTATCACTTTAAAGGCCGCCATAAAGCCCTTACTTTTGCGGCGACTAAAGGGATAGCCACGTAAAATTGTCTTTGGGAACGGGATCTTTACACAAATAGTCAGTCAGATTCACTGTTTACTTTTCCTAGCCGGCATACATATATTATATACTTGTATATCATATACTGTGTATATACATATATGAATTATACATATATTATACATCAGCCGGCTATTGTTAGTTTAAACAGTTGGGTGGGCGGTTATTTAGGTTAATTCTTCGAAAACACTTTATGATTTGAAAGGAGAAGAGCAAGAAAAAACCTGATTAGCAGAGGCAGAAGATGGTGGTGGTTTTGTAGGACAAGATTCATCTGTTTCTGTTTTCACAGCTTCCACAGAATTACTAGGAACCAACTTGAGAACAGGCTCAAAATCTGATAAAGCATCTAAAAAATTACTTTTCTCACCCAAAAGATACCTAGAAAAACCAGGTGGTGTTATAAATTCACTAGGTTTTGTACAACTCCAGCTAATACTAGTTGTAATCTTAATAATAATATTCAACCAGATATGATAAATGACATGCTAAATTGTAGGCATGTGCACGGTGTGCTATCGTAGCTCAAATCTGAAATTTTTCATCATTGAGAAGCATTTAGCAAGTTTGTTCAGGGATTTAAAACCCTATGTAGCCTCAAACACGGCTAAAATAGCACACGCAATGTTACAGATATGAGAACATCATAGCATAAAGCTTAACATTCAAATTCTAGGCTTATCATAGCCTAAACGTAACCCGAGCATGGATGAATAACCCTCCAAAAAGTCCTCAATGATCAAACATAACACGTACTACTATCTAGTTAACTTTCGCCACATCTTCATAATCCGCGACCCTGAAAAAATCTGCTCCTGAGAACTCTCAGTCCCCAAATTCATAGAACATATGAATCACCGTGACTGATCCTAACTCCAGCACTCGAATGACTAACACATCTTTCATGCACGATCATCCCACTAGGAATACTTCCAAAAATTCTTTTGTGCCATATAGCAACAATTTGAATATCAGCATTCTATCAACCAGGTGAGTACCACAATACCAATGAAGCATTCGTAAGTCACCACACAGAGCGCCTTCTTATATGTGCACCCTTCTTAGGGATTGCCGAGCAGTTATAACATTCATCTAAATATCAGAAACTGGGCATGATGTCCAAAATTCATGACATTCCCTTCAAAATTAAATATTTCTAACTCAACAAAGCCACGCATGTCGCCAAATCTGAGAATATTGCCCAAAACACCCGTCAGGCCTCACCTCATCATTAGAACCAAAAGAACCGAGCATACCACTATCATATCGATCCAACCTACCGCTAAGTTGTCTTATTTCCTCCGAGTTTCTCCTGAATTATCCTCAAGTTGACACTCCTCCTTGTCAGAACATCATGATCCTTACCCAAAGCTCACCACCTGAGATCCTAGCATAAAACTACATCGCCCTAAGGCCCATAAGCCGCCTTATTCCCTCTTAATCACCCCAAAAGTAACACAACCGTGACACCCACTCTGAAGATACTTTCTGTGAATTTAAAATTGTTCCTTTTTCCTTTCTTATACTAAAATGTAGAATCCATAGTCATTTGGAATTACCACAAGTCCCGGCACCATCCAGTATAAATAATCGATTCTAGCGATATACAAATCCGAAATTTTTCAATTGCCACATGTTGGTTCCCCAAGTACACGCAAGTATACGTGGCCATCAAGTAATAAAGTGACTCGAAAGTCGGATGTCGAACCCACAGAGGCTTAGATTAACCATTAACTAAGCAAACTAAAATCAATATACTATCCCAGAAGATCAAGAGTTTAACTTTTCTATTACAACTACTATAGCGAAATATAAACACGTAACCAAGGGAGATATAGATTCCAGGGTCATGGTCGATTTATCAATCCTATTGAGGTCTTAATTACACCCGTTAATCCAAATTATCTATGATTGCTAGTTGACCAGATCATTTATATAAATAGCATGTTCCCACAATACTATCCGTCTATCCATAATATATCAACCCTGTATTCCTACTGTCCTGAATCTATCATGAATGAATATGATACGGTATTCAACTAACCAAGACTGTTAGGTATATTCCTATCCTAACCGCGAAATCTTTCTCCGAGCCATGGGTTCAGAAACAAGCTCTCTCTAATTCTACTCTAATCTAAATACGACTTTCCCAAGCATAGCATGGAAGTAAATAGAACTCAGTTGCCAGCCAAACAATTAAGCAATTATGCACAAAATTAGAGAAACAACCAAAGATGATAACTCGAATTAACAATAATATAATTAAAAAACTTCAATATTGATGATAACCACAACCCTAGAACGTGATGTTTAGCTCTACATAGACATGGTAGTAAAACAACAAATCATCAAGAAAAATTAAAGATTACTAAGTTTGATAGAAGAACGATGGAATCTGATGAATTCCGGCCTCCACGGCGGCTCCGTGCTCTCCCTTGGTCTAATCTCAGGTCCCTCTTCTAGAAGTGGTGTGTAATGACTATTTATATGTGTACGGAAAATACTTAGACAAAATAACAAAGTCAAAAACCAAAAAGGAAACAAAATAGGCTTGAAACTAGAACACACGTCGCCTCGCTGTAGACCTTGCGCCACGACCTCTATAGCGTGTCTCACCTCGCTCCAACCCTGGCAAAGCGAGCTCTGTTGCGCAAAAATTCCCTTGCCTCGCATGCTCTAACGCGAGCAATGAACCTCGCGTCGCATGACTTCCTTGCTGCTTCGTTTTTGCGTTGCTTCAGTCTTCATTCTGTTGCTTATCTTTCCATTTCACGTGTTTGTCTTCTTTTTCTTACTTTTCCATTCTGTGCATTCTCTCTTTTTGTCTTCCTATGTAATGTGCACTTTACTCATTGTTGTAGTGTATATCCAATAATTAAGTAACCATAACTCCATTCTTGTAGTGTATAAAATACACATAAAATCTCTACTTTGCTACCAATTTTGTTTCAACGTACTTACACATGAAATAAACTCAATTAAGCACAAATATAGTGTAGTTTAACATGAAATCACCTAAATATAAGATAAGTAATGCACTAAAAATACGGAATTATAGCCAAACATCACCACATATACATTTTGAATCCATTAGAACTCTCTCAAGACTCATCCACTCTGCTCAAATCTAAATTGCACCGCCCAAATGGGCCGAAAGACACGTGCCCCATTAGCACAACAACACTCGAAGAAGTGACCCCTACCTTATCGCAACCGAGCAAATTCATACTCCATGCGCACTGCGTCCTTCACAAACAACAACTTAACCATTCCATGAATTTCCATATACTTACAAATTGCAATATAACCCGCATCCCGAAATTTCCCTACTCGATTCATCCTCAAAACCAGCCTCTGCAAGTCATAACTGGTGCACAAGTATGCCTCAAACCAAAACTAATATTTAACACATAACCATGCAATTAAATTGTCAATAGCGGGCTCCTCCACTTGGTTAAAGCTATAGAATAAAACCTTTGATAACTCACCGTACCCATACTCTATTACTGCCAAAAATCCCGCACTGAAATTCAACCAAGTCCTTCATAAACTCATGTAACACTTACCATATAATACCTCAATCATCCGCTAATCTCGCATTCATCTTCGTGTCAGTCCAGTCAACTTTCACAACAAAACTACTTAAAGATCAACACATATACCCCGTTGGTAGAAAAGAAACCCTCCACACAACATTATAGGGATTACACATCCTAAAATTACCCCGCATGTAATAACCCACCTGCTTAGCCTCAAAATGACATCTTTGTACACCCTTTCACAACCACAACTACTATGCAATCACTTAAGCTTCCAGAGTTTGAACTCATCAACAAGGCCTGAAAATCTACTTCGTCGCACCAATGAAACAACATGAAAGAATCCCTAAAAAATCCTCCTAACTTCAGACCGTATATACACCCACAAAAATCAAGCATCCAATAACCCTTTTTTACATCCAAAGTGAACTTTCCTTGTCACCTTCCAACTATCTGAACACATCCCGCAGTCACATCATACTCATCATACCGCCATCCAACCACTCACCGCGCCACCAATCCTACTCATAGGGACACCACTGGACATAGAAGTCCAAAAGTAAAGGCTTACATAACTGAAACTACTAAGCTTATGTTGTGCCCTAAACCTGGCCTCAAGTCCTCCAGACTAGCCCATCACTAAAACACATAAAACATATCTCGTGCTTCGTTTGTAGAATCATAAGCCGTCGATGTACAGCTGATGCCGAGCGTTCACATACGCATACGAGTGAGTGGAAGAAATTTCAAAGCGATACGCTTCAAGTTGAATCAATGTCACACGATAAAGAAAGAAAGATGAGAAGTTTATCCTAAATGCCCTATAGCCTCTCGAAGATAAATATGGACATCATCATACCGAATCACAAGACTCTAATAGACACTTGCTCATGACTCATATAACCTATGAACCTAGTGATTTGATACTTATTTGTCACGACCCAAAATCCGACTAGTCATGATGGAACCTAATGTAACCCGCTAGGTAAGCCACTTTAACAAGTTCCAATTCAAATGTGATTTACTGAGGAAATAAATTATGAAATAAATGAACTTTTATACACCTCCCAAGGACTAGTAGTACAAATCATGAGCATCTAAGACTAGAATTTACAAAGCTAGTGTGAAATAAAAATACATCATCTGTTTGAAATATACATGAACATATTAATAATTCTAAAGCTACTAAGAACAAGAGGCAATTGTGACTGGATCACAGGTACATCTTCAATATCAGCTCTCGCCATGCACAGCATTATCAGAATCCAAAATTTGCACGTAAGGTGCAGATGTGTAGTATGAGTACAATCGACCCCATGTACTCAATAAGTAACAAACCTGATCTTAGGTTGAAAGTAGTGACGAGCTTGTAGCAAGGTCAGAGTCTACAACAATAGACAGTAACATCTCATAACAATACAATTAAAGCAACACAAGTAATAACTCAACAATAAAATGCTCAACTCATTCACAATTTTGGAAAGATAGGCATTTGCTTTTCAAGTATAACAGTAAAACCCAAATCTTTTGCTGATATCTCAAAAATATGAGTGAATTTAAGAACTATGATTTTTCCCAAAAACTTTCATCATCAAATAAGAAATTTCATTATCAGATAGCAAGAGAAAAGAAATACTTCTTTATGCCTACATGTCAAGTATGTATGTGAATGCAATGCAATACAATGATGAACTCATATAGTCACACTCTCAGAGTTCTCAATCTCGTTGTCTCACAATTCCACTCATCACACTCAATATTTAGCACACTCAGTCACTCAGCACTGTACAGGGCAAATCCACCCCAAACATAAATAAATCCTCACACTCAGTCACTCAATAC